AGCTCCCTATTGTCTGGTTCCAGATGTTTGCAGTCATAAATAATACTAAGTAGTGAGTTCTCTGGGTGCACTGGTCTGTAAATGAAATACAGTTTCTTTGATGCTTTTTAGCGTATGAATGTGAATGCGTCTATTTTACACATTGTATTTTCTTTAAAGGTTTTCTTGTGTTTATTGCACAGGCAAGAAACAATGCTCGGGTTTTGATCTCTGGTTCATTGAGTTTGTTCAGCGACAGGTATGTGATAATTTCCGGATAAATTACGTTCTCTTATTCTTTTGAACGTTTCCATTGACAGGATTTGGTTTTGTTTACAGGTTTTTCAGATCTAAGGTGCAGAAGGCTGGGAGCTCAAAGAAGTGAGTGATGCTGTGACTTGTAATTTGATTTCCTTGCCATACGTGTTACATTGATATTTAAGGACATCTCCATTTCTAACTGCCATATAAACTATGAACTTACATAATCGAAGAGGATAAATTATCTTATTAGTGGAGATACAGCTTGCCTGTTGGGATTAACTTTTAGCTATATGTCACATATTGTGAAGTGGTCTGGTTGTAGCTTTTAGTGCCCACGTTAACTGATATATTGTATATGATGAAATTCAGTTGTTGATTGTTTAAAAACTAATAAAAGGTTATAGGCTATGGCGCCTGTTTTGAGGCAGGGATGTGCTTTACAACTTAATGATTAGCTATGATTGATGCAGAGATTAGGCTAGACATGTAGACATCAATGGAAATATGCATCTTGGAGACGTAAAGTGTTTACACTAGCAGTTCATAAGATATTTATTTTCGTAATGTAGCTGTACAAAATGACTACTCACGAATAAAATATGCATTTTTGAATGAGTTTGTCGAAGATATCTCTTAATGACACAGAATACTTTTCGGTTTGAAAGAAGAAATTTATGAGAAACTTTTTTTTTATAACAGACATGAGAAATCGTCAAATGAGCAGTTTCTGACTGAAATTAGCAAATGGGTCTTCCATGAAAGAAGTCATCTCAAGGTGAGGCAAAAATTAGTTTTTTGTTGTCAGAATATTGTTTGTTTAACGAGGCCTGAACAAAATAAAGAAAAGAAAAGGAGAAAAGTAAAAAGAGAAGTGGTGGTGGCTGGTTTAACTCAGCTAATTGTTTCACTATAGCTATGTCTGTAATCAGCTTTTTGGGTTTCTTAAATTCTCACCTTGTTAATCATGTTTTGTCCTGTAGGCTGTGAATGTAAAACACAACAGAGTTGGGGAAGCAGATGAACCTGCAATGTACAGGATCAACGATGACCTGGTAATTTTATTTACTTACAGTGTCAATAAAAAAGAGTAAAAAACCTAAAGGTTTGGCATCTGACATTGAAATTACAATTGAAGCAATATTCGGTCGAGATTTATGAATGGCATGGACAACGATGGGAACCATATGTTGCTGATGATGTCCAAGTGCAGTTTTACATGATGAGTCCCTATGTTCTGAAAACCTTGTCAACTGATCAGAAGGTAACACATGTTATTCACTGCAGATTTTTCGTAAACATCCTTGCTTAATATTCTTTTGTATTGCAGGGTCGTTACTTTACAGACTTTAAGGTTCCAGATGTTTATGGGGTTTTCCAGTTCAAGGTTGAGTACCAGAGGCTTGGCTACACAAGTTTGTCTCTCTCAAAGCAGGTAATAAATATTTCTATAAATGGTGTTGGTGCATCTATAACTTGTTAAGAGAAGATCTTTCAATTAAACCAACAAAGTTTTGTATGCATTTTGTGCTTGTGCGAAATGGATGTCATCATGGACTTGATAAATTTGTACCTCTGTAATATAGTATTGAAGCTTCATTATTGATTGAAAATCTGTGGTTACATTAATAAAATTCGATTCATTACAATTAAAAATACCCAACTGCAGAATGCGTTAAATTTCATTTTACTGCTGTTTCTTATTGAATGTTGATTAAAAATGAAAGACAATAATTCTTGTATCTACCTTTGAACAACCATCCCACTTATGTTTTGCACCTGGAATGGCGCACGCTTCAACTTCGAGTAATGAATATTCTCCTTAAGTACCAAAACCTTGTACTGTGACCAAATGTGCTATTTTATTGATTTGTTTTAATTCTTGCTTTGTATGAGTGAGTCAGGTTTTCTTTTTTAATGTAATGTTCCTTTATCCACTGCCTCAATGGAAATTTGGATATTGAATTGCAGATCCCTGTTCGACCATTTAGACACAATGAATACGAAAGATTTATACCAGCAGCTTATCCCTATTACGGAGCAGCATTTTCAATGGTAACTCTCTTTTGTTCTCTTGAATTGGTCTCTGTTACATTATACACTCATTCACACACACACACACACAAACACACAATGAATTCGAAAGATACCAGCAGCTACACAGAATGAGCGTTTTAGACAGGATCCCTTGCCATCCCAACTGCCCTTCATTTTCTTATATTTACTTATACAAAGATTTTTGATCTGTCATCTTGTCCAACGGCGGTTTAATTGCCCGAGGAGCATCTCAACTTTCATGGCCATGTCAGTGGTGTTAGCTGCCCTATTTCAAGTTACATTGAGCTAAAGCTTAACTCTATGAACTATGTATGTTTGAAGTTCCCCGGACATGGGAAATAAGCCCGAGATTCTCATTTATTGGTGCCATAAGCTATTTTTACATTAGCTTGAAACTGTTTTGATAACATTATCTTGGTATTGTGATGCAGATGACAGGTTTCTTCGTCTTCACAGTCGTCCACCTATACAACAAGTAGATGTAGAACAATTGTAGGGGAAGATGTAATGCGGTGACTAAGAGCTGATTAGGAACGGAAATTTTGATTACGCAGACTTTATAAATGCATACCATATTGTTAAGTGGTTGAAGAAGAAGATGCCGTCCGGAGGTTGTGCATGTTAAACATCATCCGTACAATCATATCCCTTTGGATTACACCTTGGTTTGAAAGAGCATCTTATATTTACCATTAGAAGAGGGCATTTATTTATACATTTACAAAGAATAGCAACTGAAATAATTTTGATTCTCTTAGACCATTTCTAACCCTTGGCCGAAAACCTAAAATTTTTAGCCCTGAAAATTTAGGTTTTAATCCAGAAACAGATTTTCTACTCCAATCCTCCTAGTCTAAAATTTTAGTCCCAGGCTATTAAAGAATGAATTTAGATTAATTTTTTTTCTTAGAAGTAACTTTTTGAAAATAAAAAATTGTGTAGACTATCTTAATTTAATTTTATGAACATTTTAAACTAAAAATATTTAGATTCTGACAAATGCTGAAAAATCACTAACCGACACCAAGAAGCTCTACTATGAAAAATATGAAACAAATGAAAGATTTTTTTTTTTAATTATTTTAGTCGTTAGATTTAAATTTGGACCGTTAAATTTTTTATTTTTTTTTTACCGTTGAATTTCATTAAATTAGATTTTAACTGTTGGATTCAATGTATTTATAAATATAAAATTAAATAAGATATACATATATGATGGATCAGCCCCACTAATCCTAGGCTAAATTTGGTTTCTATTTGAGTTTTAGGTTTTATACCACATTTTAGCATTGGGTTGGGTTGAGTTTTGAGGGGAATAGAAGTGGAAATTTGAATTTTAGCCCAAGGTTGGAGAAGGTTTTAGAGTGTATATGGTTGGGCCAGGAGGATCATTTTAACACTTTTTTTCTTTCGGAAAACTAATGAAAAGGGTTTGAAAACTTTGAGTTTTAATGATAAGGACAAAATAAAGGGTAAAGTGAATAGTACCAGGATTGACTTTTTAGTGTAAAAATGTGGTTTTTCGTTAAAGTGAACAGTAACGGGTGCTTTTCGTTAAAGTTCCCTTTTTCTTTCTCATCGAAGTTATTTCACATAGACTTGCCATGGTAAGGAAGTAGAGAGGAATAAGCACACTTGGGGAGTGCAGTACAACAGAGTTGTATGCTGGGTTTGGGGATGGGACAAGGATTGTCTGCCCTCCTAGTTGTGGTGCCCTTCCATGCCCTCCTATTTTGTGCGGTCACGGTTAAGACACGTCAATATTTTATATTAATTTTTTAATGAGATAATAAGACAAAAAACAATAAAAATATAAAATATTAACGTTGCTTAACCGTGACCGCATAAAATAGGAGGCATGGAAGGGCACCACAACTAGGAGGGTAGACAATCCTTGCCCTTGGGGATGATGAATCGCTCCAATTGAGCACGTCTGGCATATTTTTTGCACAATAACGGAATCGTTATACTTGACTCCATTGACGGTTATACCTGCGGGGTCTTTAAAAACAAGTAATTTATGTTGGGCCTTTATTCCTTTTTTAGGTCCATTAGGGTTTTTATTGGTTGGAAGTTTGGAACATCTAGTTATTTTGGTTGGAATTTTTACATCTCTATTTCCTTCTCAGCAAATAATTTTATTTTTCACAAGGTTTCATGGAATTGATCAATATTTCTTGAAACAAACAAAAAGGAAACGAAGGACGAAACATAAATGACCAACTAAGCCATGCCGCCTGCAGCGTCGGCGTTTACTAAAATTTGGGTAAGGGAATCATGCCATTCAACTACTTCTTTAGTCTACTTACACGCAAAGAATCTGAAAAATGCAGTTTTATCTTAAAATCCGTAATCAAATACCAAAAAAATAAGAAATTGAATCAACTAGGGGGAACTAGTTTTGATTTCGTTTTCTTCTCCTTTTTTTAGGCTTTTTGATTCGTTCATTTTCTCATTTTTATTAAGTGCACATACCCCTCTCTTCTACTCGTAAGTGTTCACTTGTAAAACGTACTAGGCTTTTTGAGTTTCTAAAAATATTAATGAAAACTTGGTCCTCTTTGTTAATTGAAATAGAATTATCGGAAAACGAATGCCGGAAATAAAACCCACTGTCCAACAGATGGAGCGGCATAAACAGAAACAAGAAACCAAAGATAAAAAAATGGGGATGGGATTGGATTGGATTGGATTGAAGAAATAAATGTATGGAAAGTTACTAGTAAACGCCGTGTGATGATTAAAAACAGGCATTTATCAGCGAAACCCTCCACAGACTTTGCTATTGGCCTCCTATGAATCAGATAAAGCACCTTTTCTCTGCTTTTCTGGGATTAATGAAGGCACCAACCACGACCACAACACAACACAATTTCTACCCTTTTCTGGGATTAATGAAGGCACCCCAAACCCACAACGTTATTTAACAAGAAACGAAAAATCTGCAGAAAAAACCAAGAGAGATAATTAGGAGCTTTGAGCTTTGAAGTGACCAGGCTTCTTCTTTTTTGTTTACTTGGCCGCTTCCAAAGTGTGTTTTTATAGTCGAGGGAGATGAAACCCTAAACGCTTCCGTTGAATTTTCCATTACGCTTTCGGCCCTTCCAACTTTGTTGTTTTCCTTTACATGCGCCTCACTGTTATGGACAATTGCAATTGGGCTTACAATGGCAATCACCCTGTGTTTATCCTACTTTAGTAGGTATGGGCTGGCTCGCCAAATTAGAGTCCAATACAATTCCAGAATATATCATTACAATTGTAAACTTTTAAGAAAATTAATGAAAAAGACCTCACAAAACCTTTTTTTTTTTTTTTTTTGTCAAACGATGGATTTTGTTAGATTAGAAGTTAAATGAATCACCGACAGGGTTCGAACCCATACTGTCATGTAAGGGCTCACACATTTCCACCATTATGGTAAAAGACCACTTGCAAAGACCTCACAAACTTTAGTTTTACAAAAATGTTGTTCTTACTACATATTTATACCTCATTTGTACCATCTCTCTAATAGAGATGAGATTCACATGTAGTGACAGACTCTACCTCTATTAGAGATGGTACCATTATAAATTAGGTGGTAAGTGTAGCACTATTCTTAGTTTAACCAAAATCCAACTAAATGAGAAGCAGTTTTAACCAAAAGCCAATTAATTTAGAGCTTCTCATTGGATATGATTATTTGACACTTTACCTTTAACTTTTGCCTTGTCCAAAATTTTATCCCTCAAACCATGAAGCACGCAAACAGTTAAAACGTATATTAATAAGAATTAAGCGTGAGTGATGGATTGTCCTGATGGTTAGAATCTTTCTCTTCAATCTACTGCGTCACAAGTTTAAAATTCCCCCCTTTTCTTAGCATAATAAATTAGGGTAAAAGATCCCTTATAAATTTATAATAATAAAAAATTAGGTAGGGCACATTGCACAACAATTGCCAATTCAAATTGCATTGTAGCCTCATCCATTAAGATTTAAAAGTGGTGTTGTCATTGATGTCAAATCAAAGTAAATTTGCCTTGTTGTCTCCTTCGCAGGAGATGCTCTTAAATGATTACTAGTTTCGGCTGAACTCTATATCCCCGTTTTTTGACATCTCAATGCCAATGGCAATGCAGATTACTCTTGTAATGTAGAATATCCCTTGTGATACAAACTAGGCCTATCAATTGTCTAAAATTGTTAGAATATACTAATGTATAACATACATTGCTGAAAGACTAATTTTGGGCCATGTGAGTATAAGATTCCTAAAAGCAATGTGGGCCATAATTGATGTGTGGTAGAAGGACTCATTTTGTATTGTCGACTTCCTTCTTTTTTACTTCTTGTACACCTGATGCTCAGGTGATTCACTAAAGGGGAAACAACTTCGTGTGCCACATGTGCACCACTATTGTGTGTCCTGTGCCAATCACACATGATGCTATATAATTGGCATGAAACGTCTTGATGATGATTTACTCGTGTCATAAAAGTCTTTTTTTCTTTGGTATGGTAGGGAAGTTTGACTCTGACATGAACGCAATAGCAGATCAAGGCCATAGCCTAAAGGGTGTCAATTAGGGATGGTCAATGGGTGGCCATGGATACTCCATGTATCACCATGGGGTGTGCTACATACTTTTTTTTACCTTCTCACACATCATTTTAATTCCCGATTGTCGGATCGAATGAATTGAAAAAGATCAAATGACATAAATTAATAAAGGGTGTGTGAGAAGTAAAAAGGGATGTGTGGATATCACATCTCTATCACTATCACAAGTACAAACACCACGACCACAATTATCACATATCTACACTTAAGTTGCCCTCCGTTTAATTAAATAGGTACCCACTAACCATCCCCAATGCAATTAACCCCCAAAAATTTATTTTTCATTCACTAGATTTCAGTTGTTTTGTCCCTTTGATTCTTGATAGTGTCTAAAAGAAGCAACTTAGTTAAGTGAATGATATTAGTTAAGGGTGTTTTTGAGGTTTTTTATGCTTATATGATGGATTTGTTGCGATCTGAGAAGCAAGAGTTGCCGTTGTGTAACTTCAAAGTACGATCTTTCAATTAAAAAGTAAACGAAAAACAACTGCCGGGTCGGTATCTAAGTGATAAAGATAATGTGACAATGACATGAATTAAACTTGCTTAAAAAACAAGTTTATGAATTAAACAAGAACGATAGTGAGACAATGATATAAAAGGGAGCAGAAAGGCACAAGATAAGAACACTTAACTCACAACATAAAAAGATCTTAAAGCTCTGTAGCCTATCTTTTATAAATTTCTTTTGTAATTCAGCACATTCGCAATTGTACTTTGTTTGTAGTATCAATTTCTTGTAAGAAAACTTTGTTCGAAAGCACTTCAGCTACTAGCAAGAACTTGCCCAAATAGGTCTAAAATTTGGTTGATCTCCTGCATTTCGCATTTCTTTTCGAGTTATTACTTTATTGTTGGATATTTAATAAGTACTAATGTCATTTCATTTTTGTCTTTCAATTTTCATAAAGTTTGTCATGCATTCCGTGAGTATATTTATGTGAGGATTGTACCACTGAGTTGAACCAAGATCCAACTAGTTTATGATTATCATTTCGCATACACAAAGAAAATATTTAAAATCCTTTTTAGGATAATGCATAGAAAATAACTTAATGTAGATTTTAACCTCACCTATAATACAATCTTTTGATTAGGAGTTCAGTTTACTTGTGGTGCAAGTTCACAATCTAATAATAACTTCATTCGATATTTCTGTTGGTATTAACCAACAGTGACACACCTGACATAAACTAACAACTCATTTAAAAAAGCTTGATGTCTTCTTAAGGCGTTCAAAGGCATTTTAAACTGATAAGAGCTACCAAGGAGAATTGTATCGTAAACACAAATATAACTATAGAACACATAATCCAAAAAAAGAAAAAAAAGATTAGATAAAGCTTGAGAAAACAAAACACAATTACAGAAATTAACTGAACAGAAGCGTACAAGCTAGCCACAACCAACAAAAACAAATTAAGGAGAAACTAAAACAGATGGACATATCATTCCATGCAACACATGCATGCACTTCTAGCAACGGATGGGCTGGCGAAGGTTACATCTGGCAGGAAGCTGCATGGCAAGGTTTGGGTCGATTCCGTAGGCACTGAGAAAGTTTGAGTACTTCTTGAAAAGGCAAAGGCATCCGAAGTCCGCGTACGAAAGAGCCGAGCAACACAGAGCTGAGGGAGGCGGAGGGTTCGCCCCGCTCACTGAAGGGGCGCATGCATTCAGACCTTCTTTCGTCATGCGGCAAAAACTCTCGTCGCTGTTGGCCATCAAGGCGTCGGAGCCAATGGCTACTGCCAAAAGCAATGCCACAAGAACAACAAGCTTTCTGTATGCTTCCATGTCTCTCTCTATTTCTCTTACTCACTAATATTATCTTTGATTTCTAAGTGTAATGATGAACTATGTGAAAGATGGTTTGTGGGATTGGCTTTTATATAGCTAGAAAGCAAAGGTATATATGGGAAATTGGGAATGGTGGGTTGTCTTACTCTTGCCCACTTGTAAATATAAATGGGTATAGATCTGTCACAAACCTCCATACCCTCTTTCATGTCTCTTCCCATTATCGTTTGTAAATTTAAAAAGAAAGTCATCATACCATAATCAGATATATATTATGTTAATATTGAGATTTGTAGAATGTTTATTCACTATACTATCCCCACATTGAGAATTTGAACGATCGATCAAGTTGGTTCTTGCTTGGATGTGTGACTATGATTCACAATTAATTTGACATAATCAACATTTGTAGCAGAATATAAGTTTGGTATCAAAACATTAGCTAGTCATCCATCACACTAGGTTTAATTGTATTTGTAATATGCATCTTAAATACAAAACCTTGACTTAAAAACACTTGACTCCACATAAACTAAATCATTTTGTAGTTAATATATAGAAACGCATCGAATAGAACCTGTAATTGTGGCATATTATAATTAGCATAGCAATGTTAGAACTCGTGACACAGAGTTGGCGTATTGGGATTACTGTGGGCTCACTGGGCTGTATAGATCACGGAGGTGCATTGGTGATTGGCCTTTCATGGGGACGCATTATCCAAATTAATCAATTGTTTACTGCCATAATTAAATTAAGGTATGTTATTGTTAATTTGGTGACATGTGACCCTTCATATGCATTTGTTATTCTTGATGGGGATGGAGGTGGAAAAGTCATCAATTAACATGAGTTTATAGGATAATAAGAGCATCTTTAATAGAAGACATAAAATGTAAAAAATTGTAGATAAAAATTTTAATTTACACCATCTTCTATTAAAGTAGAATGCACTCCATCTCAAGTCTCGATATCCATCAGTATCAATGCCGTTGTAAAGGAAACTTTTAGGAATATCACATTTTTTTACCACATTCATGAATGATATGATGTGGCAAGTGAGGTGTACTTGTCAAATCAATGAATAAGTTTATCTCATTGGATTTTGGTATATGTGTCAATGGTTATGTCAACGTCATACATGAATATGTCAAAAAATATAATCTCCCATTTATAATGGTTCATTAACTTCATATTGTATCCAATTTTGATTTGTAGCGGACCGTTTCAAAAGAAATATTTCAATTGCCATTTATTTTCGTTGCTTTATTTCACCTTCTTACGTTATAGTCGTTGAATTTGAGGGTATTCAATTGGTGATTAATAGTCCAACGGGTAACTCTACTTAGTCTCATGTATTTCAATTACCCTAGAGCTCTACTTAGTCTCATGTATTTCAATTACCCTAGAGCTTCCACTCTCAACACAC